AATCAACCATTTGCCATTTTGATGGAGGTTGTGCCTGCAAAACACACATTTTCCCATCATTCCAGAAATACATAGTAGCAGAAATATAATCCCAAAAGGCATAATGAAGGCTTGTAAGCCATTCCCAACCCAACACGATATCGTAAGTGTGTATGTTCATTATCCTAAGGTCTCGGCCAAAGTCTTCTCCTTGCATTTTCCATTTAAATGCCTTCCAAACTCCATATATTTTCAATTTTCCAGCCCCTGCAACCACTACATCAGTCCATCCATCTTCTTTTTCATTCCAACCCAGCCTCTTTGCCAAGTCATAATCGAGAAAATCATGGCTGCTTCCATTATCTATGAGAATTTGGATAGGTCTTCTTCCCACATATCCTTGAAGTCTCATAGAATTCATACTAACTTCACCCTCAATGGCATGTATTGAAATTTGATGACATTCAGGAGGAATTTCATGTTCATCAGGGTCTGTCTCGTTAGGTTCCATCTCCTCTTCCTCCAGATTTTCATCCAGCTCTATTAATTGCAATTGCATCTTGCATCTTTGAGGGCAATTATGGCCTTTAGAAAATTTTTTATGACAATAAAAACAGAGGTTTTGTGCTCTGTGTTCTGCCTCCTCCTCTGGTGTTAATTTTGTGGGAATTTTAATCCTAGAAATAAATTGGCAAGAAGAAGAAGATGAATCTTTTGCTGTGTTTGATGCTGAGCCTTGCACGATTGAGGATTCTGAGGTTGGCCATGCTGTTTTAGTTGTGTTTTGGCGAGACCCATCACGTGAGAAGCTCTGTTTCAGTGTTGCCCAGGTATTCGCAGAATGCCAAGAGGCTGTAGATGCCATGATGTTGCTCTGCGGTGTGTAGGACCCCTTTCTTGGGCATGTGGTTGCTTCTAGTGATCTCTGAAGGTGTATTTCTTGAAGTCGGGCCAGACTTCTTGCATCCTGAACAGTTGTGGGCTTAAGTAATCTCACTGGCCCAGCATGTTCTTCTTGTAAACCCTCTAAATAGGTCTGCACCAGATACTCCTCAGTTAGGTCCAGCTTACATACGATTTCATCAAGAATCATTGTAATCTCCTAAGCTCCCTGTCTGTCGCAGCCGCATCAGTTCCGCCATGGGTGCTTCATAAGTGGGTCCGAATCAGTTCTTTATGGCTTCCGAGCATTCTTCCCATCCAGTCGCACGTCTCCTTCTGGTGCGCATGAAGCTTTGATGCCATTGGAAGGCTTTCTCATCAAGATGAATACTAGCCATCATGACTTTCCACGCATCTGGGGTGTTATCAAGCTGGAAATACTAATCACACTTCATGAGCCATCCAAGAACATCTCCTCTCTGAAATCTTGGAAACTCCATCTTGGTAAATTGGGTAGGAGGTTGATATTCTCATTCTTGTCTTGGTTGCTGGCGTCCTTCTCCAATTCTTCGCTGGTGTCCTTCTGCCTCGTTGGAGTCGGTCTCATGATGAATTCAAGACTCTTCTACCGTGCAGACAAGTTCTGCAATCTAGGCAGTGAGCCCCTCAATCTGGTTTTCAACTATCGTGAGTCTTGCATCTGTTTCTTCAGCCATCCTTGTTTGCAGATGAGTGACAGGCATATAAGGGAGGAAGGACTGGCTCTGATGCCACTGTCATGATAGAAAGAGATGAAGAGAGAAGAAGAAAGATAGGTAGACGAGAAGGAGAGAATAGAGAGACGAGTAGACAAGACGTTCTGAATAGTACGTTTATTAAAATGAGTTTCAACAACACTGTGCATCTGGACTTGGGTATTTTATTTATAGGGCTGGACCATTAGACTAAATATTAGTAACAGGACCGACCCAAAGAAATAACATTTATACCCCTGCCTAACTAATTCCTAATATTTTCATATCAGATCCCCATACTCCCATGCTAGGTTAGGCAGGCCTAGGATTTTTTTTTTAAGGAAAAAAAAGCCCTAAACCAGGCTAGCTACTCTGCTTTTTTTTTTTCCAATGAGAAATATGGTAATCGTTACTGAAAAAAGAACTACATAATGTTAGCCCAAGGAATTAAAACCCGAGTATACATCATAATTAAATCAATACAAACGGAATGGGGAGAGGAGACCAAAAAATTAAGATCCACTCACGGTAAGCAAAAGGCGATTGAAGATAGAGGCCTTGATGAGCCATGGCAAGGGATTTGTTATCACTAGATGATGAGCAGTATGGGAATCATTGCCAAAATTTCTGCAGTTCTTGACAGTGCAGAGCTTCCAACAAATGAGGCCAAAATGTTACTCTCCAATTACAGACAGGTTTCAGTTGGATCGTTACAAGGAGGAGGGGTATTTAAAAATTTGCGAGAGCTTTGGGGAAGTCTATGTTGAAATGAACCCCTATTCCATTGATCATCAGCATCAACAAAATCAGCAATGGGCTTTGAAGCTTTGACCTCAAAAATAGGGGCGAAGTATTGAAGCTTAAGTGGGCCAAGGTCACCAACCCAGTTGTCATTCCTAAAAGGCATGTCTTTCCCATTACAGGGTTCCCCTAACATCCCCAGATCAACTTCCTCCAAGATCTTCATTAGATTTCTCCGAAAATGAGAGCATGAGGAGCATTTAAGCTTGCTTCTGTTTGCTAAAGGCCAGCATATATTTCTCTCGGACACATAGGACCCAAAGAGCATCGGAATTAGAGATCAGGTTTTAAGCTAATTTAACCAAGAAACATGAGTTTTGGCTCTCAATATCATACACCTACATGCTCTTTGGGTTGACAAAGATCTTCCCACTTCATGAGACTCACTTTCTTGTAAGACTCAATATCTTTTAGCCCAAAGCCTCCATTCACATATAACCCAGCCACTCATTAGTTGTTCGTCAGCCATTCACATTCCCCTTCTTCCATCTTCCTCTGGTGCTGAGTCCAACATGAATATCCCATACTACGAATCTTCCCATGCTGCATCACCTGGCAGAAACCTTTAAAAGTGCATCTAATTACAGAAAGAACAAAAACTGGTGAACTTCTCTATTAATTAAACTCACCAGAAGTGGGGGAAAAAAAAGACATGACAAATAAAAAATATATTAAGTCAAATTTTCAAGAAAATATCAAAGAAAGAGCAGCTTGTTACATAGGCTATAAATTTAAAGGAGTAGCTATGAGTAATGATCGCACTGAACCCTCCAAACATTGAACAGTGTCAAACAGAACAATCTTACAAATAGGAAGATAATTACTTCACATTTCACTCCAATGAGTGATACAACATCCAAGAAAAACAAATGTAGAGCATTCAAGCAGACTTCTAAATGCCTTATAGACTATCCACATGATAGCATGCAAAAACCACTAATTAGTGGGTGGGAAATGGAACTTATTCACATGATAACATTCCTGAAGCAAGAAAATTAATGAAAAAGATCTTTCAAAGTTCTCTTGCTTACCTAATACATGCCACGGACAAAAATATTACTACAGACCAAGTAAGAAGCCGCTACTACAGGAGCCAGCAATTAATCTTGCAAGATTCAGACTCTTCTGATTATATTAATGATACTTTGAGTCATTGGTACCTTCATTTTTCATGCATTAAAATCCAATTCCAGGACCAAATATATGATACCAACTTCTACTAACAGTCACTACATGATTTGGAAAAGCAAAATATGGACATCAACATATCAAAGGAGACAAAATTTAAGAAGCAATCACAAAAAGACAGCACGAATAAAAACGTTTACACTTTATCTATGAACAACTGCTATGTATGACTGAAGGACATCTAAAGCCAAAACAAATTTCCAACATAATAGCATCTTTTCCCTAGAATCATATAGTATTGACACCAACAAACACGAAAACAAGAAAAATTAATGCAATATGGGATATACATTTTGCCAAAGTTAGCCTCCCACAATAACAAGTTGAACCCATCTCAATATTATTCTGTATTTTGCAAAAAAATACAATAAATTTGCTTTCTTTCATAGCTGGCAAATATCAATAAGATTGTTGAGGTTCTTAAGAAATCATGCATGAGTAAGAGTCAAAACGTTAGCTCCCAAAAGTAGAAACTTTCACAACTTGGTATGGTGACATCATTAATATCAGTTTAGCAATATTGTCAAGTTTGTAAAGCACAAATAACTCTATGGCTTGAGACCATACATGTAAAAGCACCACACAATAGATTTTGTATAAAATAATATGCCTACGAGTTAATAAATCAAAGTTGAGCCATAAAGAAAGAACAAAGTCATGTTAATCCAAAAAAGAAAAACATCTTGACAACTAGTACCAACGAAAAGTGAAAAAACAAATATACACCAATCATGATTTAAACATAACAGACAATTGAAGCCAGCCATTATATAGTCCACAAAGTTTATTTAAATTAAACAAATTTGTTAACTATTACAATAAATTTTATCACTGAGTATCAACTATCACCAATCAAATGGATTTGGATCAAAGTATCTTGCCTTCTTTTATCGCTTTAGGAGACCTCTAGCAAACATTTCATCAAGAAAAGCATTTGCCTTATCATTCTCACCCTTTTCCAAAAGAGGTCTAATAATTGTATTGAGAGTTACTAAATTTGGTGAGCACCCATTCTCTTTCATTTTATAGAGCATTACCCTTGCCTCATCAAACAAGCCCTCATTACACAGTTCATTGGTCATAGCAGTATATGCCTGAACATCCAAAGAAAGACCACTGAACAAAAGATACTGGAAAATCCATCGTGCATCATTTAGTCTGTTACCTTTGCACAATCCATCTATAAATATGGTATATGTGTACATATTAGGCCGAATTCTTTGGTCAATAACTCGCTTAAATAATGCAATTGCCTAATCAAGATAATGACTTTTATACAAGCCATCTAACAAGATACTATAAAATATTATATTTGGGACGTGGCCTCTATCATGCATCTCATAGATAATATCCTGCACATATGACAATTTTCTTGATTTGCACAATCCGTCAACAAGAGAGCCATAGGTGACCACATTGGGAATCAAATTTTTGCGTTTCATTTCTCTAAAGAGATCCAAGGCATCATCAATCATCTTGATGTTACAAAATCCATTGATCAAGATAGTATAACTAAAATCATCAGGAGTCAAACCACTCTTGACTTGTCAACATTATTGATCCAACAGTACTCATCAATTAAAGTGTTGTAAGTAACAACATCGGGTTTTATATCGTACTTCATCATCATGCCAACAACAGCTTCAACTTTGGTAACACTTCCTTCCTTACAAAATGCATCAACTAATATATTAAAAGTACAAACATTAGGGTTGATGCCTTTGAGTCTCATTTGATTAAACAACTTTGCTGCTTCCAGCCATTTATACATACAACACAAGCCATTTATCAGGGAGTTGTAGGTCACAACATTAGGAGATATTTATCAGGGAGTTGTAGGTCACAACATTAGGAGATATTCCGTGACCAATCATTTCATGAAATAAATCGCTGGCTTCTGTGATGAGTCCTTCCTTGCAAAAGCCATCAATAATTGTACTATACATAACTAAATTAGGCTTAAGCCGCCCTCTGGCCATGTTTTGGGGAAGTTTGACAGCACATCTTGTCTTCCCTGTTTTGCATAGCCCATTAACGAGGGTGCCGTAACTAATAACATCTAACTGAAACTCTTTAGCTGTTAGATCACCATAAAAATCTAAGGCCTTCCCGATGTCATTATTGATGCATAGGCCTTTCATCAGTGTAGTCAAAGTAATGGTACCTGGCTGACAGCCCATCTTAAGAATCTTCCCAAAGACAGAGAAAGCGAAAGCATTTGACCCATATGGCAGTAACAATTAATCAAGACACTAAGAGTAACAAAAGAAGGCGTGAATCCCTTAAATTTTGCGAGTGCAAAAAGGGAGGTAACAGTAGGATAATGTTTAATCCGCGCAATGGATCCTAAAATCTTATTGATTTGGACTATAGAGTGTCGGGGTTGCCTCTGAAGCAAGGCGTGGAAAGAAGAGACAGCCTCCTCAATGCTTAGAGGATTTGTGGAATTGGAATGGATACAGAGAGTTAGGGCACATGAAGGAGAAAGAAAGAATGAAGATGAAGACGATGCAGAAAACAAAAGAAATTTGGGAAAAGCATACCTTGAAGCTCTACAAAGAATCATCTTTCAGTTGAAAACTAGTACTGCTCGGAGATGCGGAGGTCGACGAGAGGGAACAAGAAAAGCAGACACAGGAATCACCGCTTCCTAAAGTCCGTATATCAATTCTTTAACCTATTTAATAAAATTATTTCTATAAACTACCTTACAATTTATGATTATTAACATATTTCGAAGAGAATGGTTTTTTTTTTTTTTAAGATATGAAATCTCTATCATTCAATTTTTCATTCAAAGTAATACAAACTACCTTTGTTAAAAAAATTATTGGTAAGAAAATTCCATATTTTTTAAAGTTGGCATCGGATTTGAAATGCTAATATTGATATATAAGTTAGAGAACTAATGTCATTTAATAATTTACGGCTTTATGCATGTAGCGATAAATCTGGTCTTAATACAATGGCTCAGATAGAAACTTTATTTGATAAGATAACATATGACAAATAATTAAATACTAGACAATCGAATCTATCTAAACTAGTGCACAACTCTACTGATGATTATCAAATCTATCTTATATAATTGAAAACAATAAAAGATAAAATGCATAAAATCTCCAATGAATTTTGAGATAATTATATATGATTCCTATCAATTTTAAATATTTAAAATTAACTCTTCTAATATTTAATTTTTTTTTGAAACTCCCTACCAATGATTAACTTTGTTATGTTATTAATAGAATTTCATGTTTTAGATTAATGAAATACGCATGGAATATGATATGAAAAAAAATATTTTTATTAATTTTTTTAGCACAATTTAAGCTGGGGTGAAACTATACTTTTTATTTTTAGCATGCATGATAATGCTTTTATTTACTATGTAATGGAGGGGTTTTGTTTTCATTATTCACTTTCAACACAATTTAAAAAAAAACTATAATTTTATTATTTTTATTAATTAAAACAGTGTTCTATATTAAATAAATGAAAAAATATTTAAAAGCTGTTACTAATAAGAATTATATAAATAAAAGTTTATAATTTAATACAAGAAAACTATGCATAATTAATAACCTAAAAAAACATGAGTGAAATTAATACAAAAGTAAATATTTAAAAGTAACACAAAAGTACATATATAAAAAAGAATATAATTTTTATATATTTATTATTTTCTTACATAAAATGCTACGTAAGCTTTTATAAGACTTTTCTTAATTTGATATAACAAACTCTGTTAATAACATAATAAAGTAATTAATAATGAGGGATTTTGAAAAAAAAATTAAAGGTTAGGGAGTTAATTTTAAATGTTTAAATGTGAGGGAGATCATATATAATTACCTTAAAGTTTAAAGGGGTTTTATATATTTTGGTCTTAAAAAAACAATCATGTTAATCCCCAAGTCTATATAAAAATTAACATATGAAATTTTATAGCCTATTTGGTTTAACTTATATACATGTGCGTATGTATATATAACTTGATTTTGAAAAAAAAAATAAAAGAGATTCATACTTATACTTAATTATATAAGGATTTTTTAATTGTAATTTAAATTTTATTATTTTTTCTTTAAAAAATTAAATGAGTCACATAAATATGTATAATAAAATTCATGTTTTTTTATTAGGGATAATATAACTTTTGGTCCATACACTTTGTTCACATTTTAATATTGGTCCCTATACTTTTTTCAATATTTTAAACTTTTACACTTTTATTTTTATTATTTTAGATCTCTTTATCAACAAATATAAGAACCTTAGAGCAATCATAATGTAAATTGGAAGTGCTTGAAAGTGATATGACAATTTAACCATTATATATTTGTACCACTACTCATGAGTTACCTACCATCAGTACTTCATTATCTTACTTTTAAGGATTAAATAATAAATTACTTCTTGAACTTTAAATTCATAAATAAATGTTTAGAAAATGTTAACTTTAATTATTAGTTAATTTAAAAATATTAACTTTAATTGTTAGTTAATTAAAAAATTATATAAAAGAATCTCAAAATCATACAAAAGAAAAAGAGGCAAAAAATTTTTTCCAGTTGAAATTCAAAACACACATATAAAAGAAGAGAGGGAGTTAGGGAGCGAAGAGAATAAAATGCCAAGTCAAACATTACAGTTGATAGGATGTGGCGTTCAATAAAAGATGAGACGTAACAAGTATGGACTACGGAGTAACTGGTGATGTGTAAACTTTATTTGAAATTTGCCAAATAAAATGGACAGTCTTCCCCTCCTAAATGCAACTAAAAATTAAAGGATAAAAAAATAAATTAATTCATAAATTATAAGTTTAAAAGCTTATAGAATCTTAAATTTATTTTTGATGTAATGTTCTTTTTTAATTTTTTAAAATAGTACAATCTAATTTTTATTATTTAATAAAAATTAGCTTTAATTATTAGTTAAATAAAAAATAACAGAAAATAAGATCAACAAAAATTATAAAAAAAAAATAGTGTGAGACTTTTATGGGATTCTGAGAGTCTCTTATTTGATCCTTTTCTTTCCCGCCTAGAGGAATCCTGAGAGGTACGATTGAGTTCCCACCGAGATTCCTTTTCCCTAGCTAAGTGACAGGGAATCCATGTTCTCGATCAATGAGCGTTCAATGTTCTCATAAAAGCAAGCAAGTACTTTCTACATTTTCTTTTTTTTTGGGACCAGGTACTTTCTACAATTATTAAATTATTTATATTTTAAACTAATATTAGTTAAAAGAAAATGCTCATGTTTTAGAGTTGAGACAACGGAGTATACAAACAAGATATCCTGTATAAGGTGAGAAGTTTTTGGTCCCATTGATTTGCACATTATGTTGAATGAGTTAATTAATTGTTTTCATAATTATATTTTTTTATGGTTATCCTTATTTAACAGAGTATCTTCATTAAAACAAAAAAACCTCATTAATTACACCCAATTAATATTATTTTTTGAAAAAAATTTCATTAATTATGCCTTGAAAGATCCGACATTTTTTATATTTTTTAACATCTCACCTTAAAAAATATTTTATACTGTCTCCCTCCTAATGTATAATTAAGACACTTTTGAAGGAAATTAGGTGCATCCTAAAATATAAAATACTTTAACAAAAATAAAGTTTTATTAACGATAATTTTTAAATATTACCCTTCATATTATATTCTCTCTTTTTAGTACTTGTTTCATAAATAGAGTATTAAATTAAGAGAAAATATAATTTTTAAGTCCCAACAGTTCATTAGGTTTGTTTTTGATTCCTATAGTTTTTTCTAGCATTTTCAATCGGGATTAAAGTTATTGAAAAAAATGAAAACTATAAGGACCTAAAAAACAAAGGTCATCCAATCTTTTTAACTATGAGGATTGAAAATATTAAAAAAAACTCAAGGAATAAAAAAACATGATGAAACTATCAGGACCAAATATTATGTTTTTCCTTAAATTAAGACAATTTTAAAAATGTATGTTTTTATTTTAAAAAAAAACTAGCATTTACTCCCCTATACGATGCATGGAAGTATTTCATTACATGTAATATTTTTAAAGTAATATCTTTTAAAAAAAACTAGAAAGTGTAGTTGTGAACATCGTATTTTGTCTGAATATTTTTTTTAAATTTAATGATAAATAACCAAGAAATATAAAAATACGAAATAAAATTTAATCCTTTCTTAGGATTATATTTAAAAAAATAATTTTAACAAAATCAAAAAAAAATCTTGTTTAAGTCTTTTAAAATCTCTCCTAAATTATCCCAACCATTCAAAAATATTGAAAATTAATTTTTTTGAGACTTAAATATTTTTAAATTTCTCTTCTTAAATCTTTTTGTTCTCCATTTAAATATATATGTATATATATATATATATTAAAATTAAATTTTCCTTTCTCTCCTTTAATCTAATTAAAAAAAAAAAGAAGCATTAAAAAGAATGGCAAAAAACGCTAGTCATGCACGTATAAAGAGAGTAAATTGAAAACAACTTTTGGCCAGGCGTAAAAGCTTTACAGAGCAAGCACACACAGTCACAAAAATGCCAGAAAGAAAAAAACAAGATCAAACTTGCGTGCACAGTGAACACACGAAACCAGAGCCACAGCACAAAGGAGAACGCATGAAACACACAACAAAAAAGAGAACAGAGAGCAAGCGAAAAAACTGGACATACACACAAAAGAAGTAGAAACAGAAACATGCGGGAACAGCAAAAAGCAGACAACAAATGGAAAAGGAAACAGAAAGCATGGCACAGGCAGAAAATGCAGCTGAAAAGAAGGAAAAAAAAGAAGAAGCAGAGCAGCAGAAACACAAAAGACCAACACAGAAAGCAAGCACATGCATGCACGAAAAATAGGCCAAAAACAAAGCACGAACGAAATGCACAAAAACGGAAGAGAAGGAGCAGAAAGGAGGAGAAAAAAGGAGGAGAAAGAGGGAAGAGGGAGCAGTGACTGAAGGGACTAAAAAAGAGAGAGCATAAAAGAGAGAACAGAGCAAGAGACAAAAAAGAAACGGGAAGAGAAGAGAGAAAACCAGAAAGAAAAAAAAAGAACAAAAAATAGAGCAAGAGACCGAGAAAGACGAGCGTTTTTTTGGAAAAATCAGAGATTGAGAGAGGAAGAAATAGGGACGAAAAAATGTAGAAAAACTGAGACGTCCGAGAGTCTGAGAGAGAGCACGGAGAAAGAAAGAAAAATGAGAGAGAGAGACCAGAAGCTGGAGGATGTCTAAACAGAGACTGGAACTGAGGGAGAGAGAAAGAAGGCATGCAATGTTGCTGTATACAGAGGATTTCGAGTATGTGAGGAAGAAATACCAAGGAACATGGTAATCTCAACCTATATAACGGATTCATCTTCACCAACAGCTGCAACGACACTCACAGAAATGATTCCTGGAGCCATGGCCTCATTACTCTTATTCAAAAACTCAATTCCATGAAGAAGGAAATCCTCAACATTTGTTTCAATTACCAGATGCTATGTTGTGCATTGGGAG